CTTTTCCTATGTAGTATGATTATAATTGCTCAGCAAGAAGAAATATGTGTCCTGTATTGTTTGTTGTGTGGTGCTTTATGTGTATTTAACTTAGCAAGAACTAAAATAAAAACATTTAATGCATTCAGAAAGGGACCCAAACTGGAAGACTGCCTGTGGATATAAATGGAATAAAGTTCAATAAAATATTCTATTCTTTTTAAAGAAACTTTAAAGATTTTAACTTTAAAACTTAAAGAATTTGTGTGGCTCTTAACACCATTTAAAAAAAATATTAACCTCCTGCATTTTGTGAAGTAGCAATGCTTAGTGTTACAGGACAATACTATCCAAAAGGTTCCAACATTTTTTGAGTAATGGCTTCAACAGATTTATTCCACACCCTATTCTTATCATCACTTTGGACTAATTTTTCTCATTCTTCTTCATTTTGTCCTATATCATATTTAAATGAATATGAATGGTATTCTTAACATATCCATAAGTCTGGTAAAGAACACATCGTAATATGTCATTTGTATGCCATTAATACCTGACAATCTACCTAAAAACAAGGTGTAAGCATGTGAAATACAATAACATTGACTGTGATGATCTTTGGTTTTAATGATGGAAGACTTCAATGAAGTCTCATGTACACTCCCGAATGCAAGTAAATAAAATGATAATGGCTAATATTTATCAAGCTCTTATTATATGTCAAATACTATGCTAAGTGCTTTGGATAACTTGACTCATTTAATGCTCACAGCAGTTTTATGAGGATATTATCCCCGTTTTCCAAGTAAGCAATGTGACACAGAAAACTTAAGTAAACTAATTAAATGAACTAGCCTATGTTCAGGAATTAGATCAATTTCCTGTACATAAAAAATGATTAGAAAGCAATAGCTATCATTGTGCCTGTTGTCAAATGTCACACAGCTAACAAGTGGCAGATATGATACTATACCAAGAAGCCTGTGTTCTTAAGAATATACTAGGATGAGCTTCATAAGATTTGATTCTCACTTTAGGATGAGTGGATGAGAAGGAACAGCAGAAGCTCACAAAGCTTGAGTGACTTGTACAAGGCTGGATAATATATAAAGAAACGGTTCTGCAGACTTTCCAAGAAGCATGGTGCCAGCATCTGCTTCTGGTGGGAGGCCTGGGGAGGCTTTTACTGATGGTGGAAGGCAAAGTGCCAGTGAGTGTGTCATATGGTGAAAGAGGTAGCAAGAGAGAGGGGGAGGTGAAAAGCTCTTTTAAACAACCTCTCTTGCATGAATTCACTCATTACTATGGGGAGGGGACCAAGCCATTCATGAGGGAATTGCCTTTATAACCCAAACACCTCCCACTACACCCCCACGTTCAACATGGGGGATCAAACTTCAATATGAGATTTGGTGGGGACAGGTATCCAAACCGTGTCAGTAGCTTTATGTTATGACTGAAAAGTAGTACACCTGAATATGTAACATAGGAATTAAGTGACAGGAGTTTATAGAAGTGAGATTTCTGTGAGTTACTCTGTACACCTTCATCAGAAAAAGATACTGTGAGCCAAGCCTTGAAGTGGTTGGAATTTGGATAAGCAGATAGCAAATGGGGACAGGATGGGTATCAGTTTCACAATTTTAGTAGGTTCAGGGCATTAAAATGAATGAGTAATAATTAAAACAGTTAATTGTCTAATGGTTACCCTTGTTGAAAACAAAGGCTTGCATTATTTTTAAATCAAATTTAGCCGTTACCATTTCTATTTCATTCATCAAAGAAAAATTGCTTGCATAGGTCTTTAATATTATTTGCACATTATTCAGGGGGATTTGTCACAAAGAATATGACATAGTCTTTCATGCCTTCAATAAGAAGGGAAATATTATTCCATATGCAAGAACAATTTTCCACTCCTTAAATGCCTTTGGAATTAGACTAGCATTCACTATATTTTCGCTGACATTGAGTCAGGGAATTCCATTATTAACATATTTTGCTGGCATCATTGTTCACTCGTAAGGTTGCCATCTTATCATTTAAACTCTGTTTTGTAAGAAATTATCCATTTTATTTTTCTATGATAAAAAACATCAGTTTAGGGAATAATTTCCTCTTCTACCTTGTTAGTCATTGGGCTAGAAATCTAGGCTATAAAGATGAATAAAATACACTTCCTGCTCAAAGATTACAGAATAGACATAGACAGATGTGAGGTGTTATAATATCAAAACAACGTGATAATTATTGCCAGAGAGCTGTGCACAAAATGTTAATCCTTATAATGTCATCATTTGATAGGTTTAATTTTCTTTAAAAAAATGAGGAAACCCAGGCTAATTAACTTGCTTAAGATCATGTAGCTAGCAGGTGACAAAGATACTTTTAGCATCCAGATTTAACTCCATAAACTACAAACAGAACTCAAGGAAATTTTGCATTAATAAGGATTGTTAGATTACTAATATTATTAATGCAGCATAATAATTTTAAAGTAGCAGTTTTATTACCTGTTTCTGAGATGGATTTGAGGCTGCTTATAATAAAAGCAAGAACAAAATAAAAATAAAATGTTATTGCAGGATAAAACAAAAAAGTTGTAAAGATAATGAGAATAAAAAGTTACACAATAAATTCCTATCTGAGAAAAGTTAGAGCCATTTGAAGACAGACTTAGCTCTGAGCTTTCTATAATCAGGCAAGGGAAAACATGAACCCTAATTGCTCCCACTCCCTAGAAAATATTTTATATAAGGACAAATTTCTAAGTGGTATTTTTAAGCAAACACTGGCTCTGATATTTATCATTTTTGTTTACATTATTAGATGTATGGCCACACTGAGGACTCCTCAATTTTTAAGTCTTTTATTCCTATTACTTTCTTTTATGTATTTATAATATATATTAGCTCTTTGAACTCCTTTTTCTTTATTTGAAAAGTGGGATAATTGTTACTGACCCAACAGATTCTCTCTCACATGCACACACACTCTCTCTCCATATGTTATTTAAAAATAGAATAACAAAAACTAAAACTATTAGATATAATATATTATTTCTCTTTTCTTTGGAAGTAACAGACCTTTTAAAAATAATTGTTTTAAGTTGCAATATAAATTAATTTATATTAAAAATTTTCATACTTAATAACTATCATCACCTTTTATCTACTCCAAAATAACAGAAACAGAATGATTTTGTGCCATCCATAACAAAAGTAAAAAATTATCACATTCATATCTTAATTTAGTGAGTGTTTTGAAGTAGTACAATTGACCAAGAGCAAGGAAAGAAGAAATATTTACTGATGATTTTATGGTAATAATTACTATCAAATACTCATAAAAAGTTAGTACAAATAATTTTTAACAATCCCCCAAAACATTTAGTTTACACTGTGAATTTTATGAAGTGACCTTAGTTGTTAAGTACACATTCTTCTAACATTTGGTTGCTACTTTGTTACTCAAGTCAGCATAACTTCTTAGCTAGACAAATGCAATTTGCTGCCTTTGTTTGCTTGCCTTCTACTGTGACTGGTTTTGCATATTACATACAATGTTATCTTTATGAATGAAGATCCAATATTGTTGCCTTCCTCCCCTTCCCCAAGCCATCAGTGGCTTACCCTTATATTCACAATAAAAAGCAGAAAACATCATGTATCCCCCCAAGTTCTTACATAATCTATTCCATAACCACCTATCAAGCCTTGTGTCTACATTCACTTCTTCAGCCACATAGGCTTTTTTGCTCCTTACTAGTCCAAGAGCAAGTCAAGCTTGTTTCATCAGACTGTTTACACTCTACTTCTCAATATTCTCATGGCTAATCTTTCTCATCATTCAGGGCTCTGCTCAAATATCACCCTGCAAATTTAAAGGAATAGCCGCACCCCTTGACTCTACTCTCCTTTATATTCTTAACAGCTATATTGTATTTATTCTGTGCTCCCACCCATAAATATGTTTGTGCACATATATTCATTTTATCATTGTTCATTTTCCACATTAGAATACAGATGTCGTAAAAGCAGAGACATTTTATTGTTTCCTGTTATAACTCCAGTACCCATAGTAGAGGTTTAAAAATGTTTATGGAATAAATTAATTTAAAAATGAAGAAATGGATAGATAAATAGTGTACATATGCTCAATGGGCACGCTTGTAGCTCTGGTTTGGGTGGTGCAAGGGCAATATATGTAACCAAAATGTTTGTACCCCCCTAATATTCTGAAATAAAAATAAATATATAAATAAATAAATTAGACAAAACTTTAAAAAAATTTAAATCTAAAACACTTCTGGTCCCAAGCATTTTGGATAAAGGATACTCAACTTGTTTTATTAAATAAAAAATAAAATTTTATCTAAAAATAAATATTCATTTTGATTATATTCTGGTAAGTCAAAACTAGTTCCTCTCAAGCGTCTATAAAGATAATTTTGTATAGGTGAATATGAATTATAAAATTAATAGATGTCAGCCTTTATATGACTTTTCTGTGACCCCCCTTTTAATTGCTTTAAAGTTTGGCTAGAATATAAAATATCATGCAGTTTCTCTTTCCTATTTATTTTAGATAATTTGATGATTACCATTTCTAATTATTTTTATTTTTTTAGGAATAATTCTAAATAAAAATAAAACATATAACCTTAAAATATGTTTTTTCTATTCATTGCTCTGGGGAAAGTTATGTTTGCTTAGATACTAATATTTTAAATAGCCAAAGGACATATTCTTCCTTATATTTTGTTTGCAGATATTAAAAAACAATTAAATCATTATTTGTATCCCAGAAGACACAGTCACATTTTCAATTATCACTTTTTAATTTTAGTTGCAGAGATCGTCTTCTTAATACATACTATAGCAGCTTTCATGTAGCTGTAGCAAGATGGTGTTTCAGGCTTTTTATCAAGATTTTTCAAAATCTTATTTGAGAAGAGGAGTAATATGAGCAGTCAGCATATTTCTCATTTCACTTGTTTTTTTCTTGTGATTTTTTTTCAGAAATTGAAAAATTTCAAGGTTCTGATGGAAAAAAGGAAGATGAAGAAAAGAAATACCTTGATGTCATCAGCAACAAAAACATAAAGCTCTCAGAAAGAGTACTGATTCCTGTCAAACAATATCCAAAGGTAACAATATATACCCTGTTCCTATACAGTTAAGGAAAAAATGATAAAAATATTATGGTTTCATTCATTGCCTTTTATAAAATAAATATGTAGAGCTTCATTATGTAAGTATACAGAAATACATGATACTTAGGTAGAGAAAGAAAAATTCTTTGAAAGTACAATGATGAAGTAAATTTTCAAGTGAAGGCTGTAGCATTTTTGTTCTTTGAATAACAGGAGACACAGTTAGATATTTTAATCATTTGTTTAACATATAAATGATTCACCGGTTTATCCAAACATGCACACCCACTTGATTATGTTTTGGTTCATGTTAAAATGTATATTCTTATTATAAAAGGAAGTAGAAGTAATGATTCTAAATATATAACACTTGCCAATCAGCAGAGAATTATTATATCTAGGAAAGCAATGTGGTGTTTATTAGACTCTTGGACTATAACCTCTGGCCCTATATATTCAAAGTTTGTTTATAAAAATAATTATGATATTATTCTTAGTGTAATAACATCTCTGTTTACTTTTTTGCTAGTGGATCATTGGTCATAAAATCATGGTTTCATCAATTATATTCATAAATTTCAATGGGTAAAAAGAGTTTCTTTTTTTTCAAATAAATAAAAGAAGCTAAAATGAAAACTCAAAGATTCAACCTTATAATTTACTTTATAAAGAGTGAATCCGAAGCAGGGACCATGTAATTATCTTAATAATAAAGATTATAGAAATGAATGCTCTAGTTTACCAGTTGTCTTCCAATGTGATAAATTCTAGTAAATATAATTAACTAGAATGTTTTGCTTATAATTATTTCAAGCAGAGATAAAATTGTTACAACCCAGCAAATTTTCTGATGAGGTTTTCTGGGCATGCCATTTTTTTGTTTGTTCTGAGTTAGACATACACTCTTGTAAGAAAGATGCATTTGATAGGTATATGTTTTTGAAATAAGTGTTATTTGATTTAATTTATAATTATGTTCTTACAAATATTAATTTGAGAAGTCATAGAAATATACATGAAAATCTTACACACGTGAAATATGATAGAAATATCTTGGAATATTAAGAAAAATGTGTCTTTTTTATGGAATTTGATTAATTAACCCATAACCATCTTGAATAGAAGATTATTTCCCTAAACTATAAATTTAAATATGACATAACTTGATATTGTTTCTCAGATTAACACTTGTTTATTCTTTGTACATGGGAATTCCAATGACACACTCCGTGTCTGCTTCTGTGTAAAATTGCAGCTCTATGGTCTCTGACCAGGTATGGAAGGCATTTAAATTTCTGGTGGCTCTTAAATTACTAGTATGAGCGTTTTTATACTGAGTATTACTAGAGTCTGTATTCGATTCAGAATTACAAATATTGAAATAAGCATATTCTATGGTGTAAATTTTTTAAATTTATTTTTATTGATGTGTAATAAATAGATATACATAGTTAGTTTTAGGGTATTTGTGATAATTTAATGTATTGATATAATTATCAGTGATACAATCAACATACTTGAGATATTCATCACTTGTCATATTTGTCTTTTCTTTATGTTAGAAACATTCAAATTATTCTCTTCTAACTTTTTTGAAATGTACACTAGATTATTGTAAACTATAGTCACCCCACTGATCTACCAAACACTAGGTCTTATTTCTGCTAACTGACTGTGTATGTCTACCCATTAATCCACTTTTCTTCATTTTCTCCCATATTTTCAAGCTTCTGATAGCAACCAATCTGTTCTCTATCTTCATGAGATCCACTTTTTTGGTTCCAACATATGAGTGATAATATGCCATATTTATCTTTCTGTGCTTCGTTTATTTCACTTAACATAATAGCCTCCAGTTCCATCCATTTTGCTACAAATGGCAGAATTGCATTCTTTTTATCACTGAATTATATTCTATTGTGTTTGTATACCTCATTTTCTTTATCCATTCAGCTGTTGATGGACACGTAGGTTGATTCCATATCTTAGCTATTGTGAATAGTGCTGCAATAAATATGGGGATGCAGATAACGTCTTTGATATGCTGATTTTGTTTCTTTTGGAAATATACCCAGCAGTGGAATTACTGGATCATATGGTATTTCTAGTTGTAGTTTTTTGAGGAACCTCTATACTATGTTAGATAGTGGCTGCACTAATTTACATTTCCACAAATAGTGTATGAGTGTTCCACTTTTTCCACACCCTCTTCAACATGTTATTGCCTGCCTTCTTGATATAAAACAACAACAACAACAACAACAACAACAACAAACATTTTAACTGGGGTGAGATGATATTTCTTTGTAGTTTTTTTTGTTTTTATTGCATTTTTCTGATGATTAGGGATGTTGAGCATTTTTCATATACCTGTTATGCATTTGCATGTCTTCTTTCAAGAAATATCTATTTGGATCTTTTGCCCATTTTTAAATTGCATTATTATTATTTTTGTTATTGAGTTGTTTAAGCTCTTTATATATTCTGGTTATTATTTGCTTATCATATGGGTAGTTTGCAGATACTTTCTCCCACTTTGTGGGCTGTCTGTTCACTTTGTTGTATGTTCCTTTGCTGTGCAGAAATTTTTTTGCTTGAAGTAATTTCATTCGTGAATTTTTGGTTTGGCTCCCTGTGCTTTTGAGGTCTTACACAGAAAATCTTTGGCTGGATCAATATTCTGGACCATTTTGTCAATGTTTTTCCCTAGTTGATTCACATTTTCAGGTCTTAGATTTAACTCTCTAATCCATTTTGATTTGATTTTTGTGGATGGTGAGAGATAAAGGTCCAATTTTATTCTTCTCCATATAGTTATTCAGTTTTACAAGCACTATTTATTGTATAGTCTCTCTTTTCCCCGTTGTATGTTCTTGGTGTTTTTGTTGAAGAGGAGTTGGTTGTAAATTTGTGGGTTTATATCTGGGTTTTATGTCCACTTCCATTGGTCTATGTTTCCGTTTTTATGCCAGTGCCATATCAATGTGGTTACTATACATTTGTAGTAAATTAAGTCAGGTAGTGTGATGCCTCCAGCTTTGTTCTTTTTGCTCAGGATTGTTTTGACTGTTCAGGATCTTTTGTCGTTATACATAAATTTTTGGATTTTTTTTTCTGTTTCTTTGAAGAATGTCATTTATATTTTGATATAGATTACGTTGAATCTGATAATTGATTTAGTATGTCATTTAACAATATCAGCTCTTTTAATCTATGAGCATGGAATATCTTTCCCCTTTTTTGTCCTGAAAGAAAGAAATGAAAACATTTCTTTCAGCAGTGTTTTATAGCTTTCTTTATATAGTTTTTTCATTTCTTTGATTAAATTGTTTCCTAGGCATTTTATATTTTTGTGGCTATTGTAAATGGGATTGCTTTCTTGATTTCTTTTTCAGATTGTTCATTGTTGATATGTATAAAGGCTACTGATTTTTGTATGTTGGATTTGTATTCTGCGACTTTAGTGAATTTTGTTTATCAGTTCTAACAGTTTTTTGGTGGATTCTGAGTTTTTATAAGTATAAAATCATGTCAACTGCACACAGGTCTAATTTGACTTCTTCCTTTCCAATTTGGATGCCATTTATTTCTTTCTCTTGCATAATTTCTTATGCCAGGACTTCGAGTATTATGCTAAATAAAAGTGGTGAAAGTGAGCATCCTTGTCTTGTTTCAGATCTTAGAGGAAAGGCTATCAATTTTTCCCTGTTCAATATAATGTTAGCTATGGGATTTTCACATATGACCTTTACTGTTTTTCAGTATGATTTTTATACATTCACTTTGCTGAAGATTTTTATCATAAAGGGATATTGGATATTTTCAAATGATTTTTCTACATCTACTGAGATAATCATATGGTTTTTGTTCTCAGTTTTGTTAATATGATGTATCACGCTTAATGACTTATTTATGTTGAAACATCATTGCATCTGTGGATGAATCTTACTTGGTCATGGTGAATCATCTTGTTAATTTGTTGTTTGCTAGTATTATGTTGAGGATTTTTGCATCTACTTTCATCAGTAACATTGGCCTGTAGTTTTGTTGTTGTTGTTGTTGTTGTTGTTGGGTCCTTGTCTAGTTGTTTTATCATGGTAATGCTAGCCTCTTAGAATGAGTTTAAAAGTATACCCTCCTTTCTAATTTTTTTGAAGAGTTTTAGTAAAATTGGTATTAATTCTTGTTTAAATGTTTGGTAGAATTTAGCAGTGAAGTCATCATGTCTTGGACTTTTCTTTGATGGGAGACTTTTAAATTAGAATTTCAATCTTATAACTCGTTATTGATTTATTGAGGTTTTCTATTTCTTCATGGTTTAATCTTGATAAGTTCTATGTGTCCAGGAATTTATACATTTCTTGTAGGTTTCCAAATTTGTTGGCATATAGTTGTTCACGATAGTCTGTAATAATTGTTTATATTTCTGTGGTCTCAGTTTTTATGTTAACTTTTTCATTTCTGATTTTTTAGTATTTGGTTCTTTTCTCTTTTTTTCCTAGTGTAGCTAATGGTTTGTAAATTTTATCTTTCCACTCTCATTGCTTCACTTGACCAGCCTTAAGAAACAAACAAAAGCACAAAACACAACTATTTTTTGCTGGTTTTCTGTATTTTTTAGTCTCAATTTCATTTATTTCTGCTCTGATTTTAATTGTTTCTTTCCTTGTACTAATTTAAATTTGATTTTTCTTGCTTTTCTAGTTCCTTGAGGTGAATCATTAGGCTGTTTATTTCAAGTTTTTCTACTTTTTTAATGTAGAAATTTATTACTATAGATGACGTCGGAGCACTGCTTTTTCTGTATCTCATAGATTTTGGTATGTCATATTCCCATTTTCATTTTGTTTCAAGAAATTTTTAAATATCTTCTTAATTTCTTCATTGACCCTTTGGTTGTTCAAGAGAATGTTGCTTACTTTTCATGTGTTCGTGAAGTTTCTAAGGTCTCTGTTTTTTTTTTTTTTTTAATTTCTAGTGTTAATTAATTGTGG